AATATCTAATTGGCGCCACGTAGCGAAAAGAAGAAACGACTGGCGCGCTGTTGTTAACTCGGCTATAATCGCGTAAGCGGTGTCTACGCCAATCAAAAAGAAGAAGACGTGTGTATGAAAAAATTTAAGTTTTAATTGGAATTTAATATCTAGAATTATGTATCTATGGATACTTGGGTATGTGATTGTGGATGTCAGGAGGGTACAGGTGAAGTTGTGGAACGGGTTATAGTGGTGGGAGAAGTAGTTGTGAAAAGGGGTGAGAAGGATGGAGAGGGAGAATTGTATAGGGAAGAGACAGAAGGAGAAGGGGTTTTGGGGCAATCATTATGGATTGAGTGTATGTTCGTAGGGGTTGAAGAATTATTGTTTGAAGTTGTAGCTTTAATGTTGTCATTAGAATTATTAGTGTTTGAAKTTTTTTCGATGTTGATGTATTTTTTTGAGTGAGTATTGTTGTTGGAAGMAGTTRCATTAGCATAGGAGAATGGTGAGGGAGTAGAAGGCATATGAGATTTGTATAAATTGATGGGGTCTTATTACATCGCTTAGCAGTATGACCCAGCAACTGACAATTCTTGCAGCGCATGGGATTAGTATAGTAGGGACGGATATCGAGGGTACACCAGGCAACTTCAATTCGACTAGGTAAAGTATATTTATCACATGTTAGTAATAAGGCACCAGTAGGTTCACGATTACCATTGTTTATCTTCGTAAATTTATAAACATCGGATACACCTTGATCTTTTAGACCATCAATTATTTCGTCATCAGCAAGCTGACAGATAAATGGAGCGTAAATTGTACCCTTTACTGAGTTCAGAGAGTTGTGAAGAGATATATCAACAGCAGCAGCTCCGGGAAGATGTTTGGTTTGTAAAAATTTGTCAGCGATTTTTTGGTTCTTGACCAAAAGAAGTAGGGTGCCGTCACGAAGCGATGTGATTTTGTTAATGTCTTTGCTTATGGCCTGAATACCTTTATGTACTGCAAAGCAAGAAGTGGATGCAATAATTCTTCTGGCGTCCTGTGATTTGATTACGAGGTACTTGGGATCATCATTCTTAGAAATAGGTAATTCCGGGAAGAATTCCAGCGTTGAGTTTTCGGTCTTTTTCCTCTTGTTTTTAGGACCCGGGGATAATAGTGCAAACCTATTATCCCCCAGCTTGTTGGCTCCAGGGGGCATTGCGAAAGAGCTTATGATCTTACCCGATTAAATTGTGGGTTTAACTTTATAATAAAAAGTATAAAAAACACGTGGAAAATGTAACGAATTGAAGCACAAAATTTCAAAGCTAGGTTAAATTGCCCGTACACTAAGTAACGAGAAGTTATGCAGAGAGTATATATATATGCACACGATATGAAAGAAATCAACCGTACACAACAACGAACAACGAACGACAGATATCAAAATATATTCAACGCCATCCTATGTTCCACCTGGTTTTGTTTACTGTATATTGCAATAAAGTATCTCATACGCACGTCGGCGATTTATAATGTGTTTTTTCAATTTGGTAGGATTTGATATTAGATGGACGATTTGAAATTTTTCCACCATGATATTAAACTGTATAAAAACTACTATATGTAATATAATAATCTTCATGTTTCAATGTAATTATAAAAAAAATAAACAAAGACAGCCAAGTTGCCTTTCATGACGATGAGAGACCGTCCCATGAACGCCTGTGATAAGAAAGCCAGAGCGAAGTTACAGGTGGAAGGGCGCACCATATGTTGCATGAGGCGATGTTCAGGGGGAACAATAGTATGTGGATATAACTGAAAAGTAATGTGGCAAGTCGAGACTTCGCTGGCACAATTATGAGATGACATTCGTTATATGTTAGGCTTGCATTCGCAAGCCAACAATTCAGCCCAAGAAAACCTTTCGAGCCTAGGAATAGGTTTAGAACCTCAATAGTGATATATCGCGGCTGAAGTTTCTCGTTTGAGTATATGCGATAAAAGCGACCTTTGCCTTTTGTAAGGCTAGATGCCTCACTGTATTGCACTTTGGTTTTGAGTT